AGACCAGGCAAAGGCGGAGGTTGTCATGTTTTGTGTGACGAAGATTCGAACCCGCGACCCTCAGTTTACGAGTCGAGCGCCCTAACCACCTGGCTTTACAGTACATTGGATATACTAACGCCACCAACCTTTAACTCAACACATAGTGTACCAAATCTGACTCGAAGGACACTGACCGGCTTGGTTAAGAATATATACAAGTTAGAAAAAAACATCTACTTAGAATGACAAAAGTCAATTCTGAAATTGTATGTGTGTTTCGTGATTGTATGATTTCATTGACGCCAAATAGAAAGAACACAGAAATTTTGTAGACTGCATTTTGAACATGTTACATCACTATTACAGTCCTCAAATATTTATGGTAGGTGTTATTCTATAAAAGTAATTAATTATTTGTAGTAAAATGTAAGTTGTGATCTCATTCAAACATGTTACGTTAAATAATGTCTTTGACATTGATCACATATAGAAGTACTGTCACAGTATATTTGTTAAAATCCTATGGACAGTTGTAAAAATAATGGTAATTAAATATATACGTATGTGAAATTCAATCTTTTTCAAAACTCGTTTAAGATAAAGTAACATGTGTAAAATATCATGTTAAGTTATAAAATCAACCTAGTGAAAGTTTTATTACATAATAAACGTCAATGTAAAATAAATATTTGACGATGTAAAATGTTTTATAAAGTCAAATTAGTAAAGTTTTATGTTTTAATTACTGTATGATATCGACCTTTTTAGGGCGATTTAAACCTATAGTTATGTATCGTGTGCATCATTGTGTCATGGCAGCGTAGCAAGATGTTCTTTGTTTCGTGGATGTTGTAGCAATACGTTCTGTATAATCATGTTACTGAAAATACTTAATTATTTGATTTAGTAAGATATAGTCCTTTTAGGACAAGGAATGTAATTAACTGGTAAATCAGTACTGAAAATATTTAATCACTTGTTTGAGTAAGTTTAATTATTGTATTTTTCTCGTAGGGCTAATTAACCCTTTCGCAACAGGTTTGGTATAAAATGCACGAGTTCATATACACATGCATGTGTATCTTCACAAAATTTATACACATTTAGTAATGATTTCAAGTCTTTTGTACACAAAAAAATCTGATTTCTTAATGAAGAATTTTTACTAAAGATTTGTTTGTTAAAATATCAAGTCTGTTTCGTTAGTAGTCTGAGTGCCAATTGATTTTCATGTCATGATTAAAAACTATTCTCCGTCCCAAAAATCATTTGTGTAATCTCTAAAAAAAAACCCTAAATACATTTCAAACGTTTATTTTCTCTATACGGGGTCTGTCAATTTGACCGACCTCGTAACCACCATAAACAATTAGGAAATAAATATAAATTATGCTTTTTTTCATTCTAGAATAACTACAATGTATAACATGAAAATACAAATGTTAATGTCTAAATAGCTTAAATCTCATAACATTATACATTTATATATATATATATTTATTACTTTTATTATATTGACCTTCCATTCGGGTCTGGCTAACAATACAGAAGTTACAATGACACGGCACGCGCACTCATGTTACCATATCCAAGAATATAAAATTGGCCTTTACAAATTGACCTGTATTGGCTGTGTTTTAGTGGACTAGTATTTTGTAAAATACAGTCACGTCTCAGTTATAATACATTATATGTGTATATGCATTATTATTATTTACAAATATGTTCTTAAACTTCTTTTTCTTAAAACATAGAACAGTAAATAAAGAAGTAAAACAAACACTTATCTCTTTTAGTTACGACCTTTATACCAGTTGCTGCTTTACGTAGGTTGCAAAACCTTTTAAAATTTCGCACATGGAGGATATGAAACAAAATATTTGTCAAAGTTTTATATATACAGATGAATAACCAAATAATCATAAACTACTATATCAATACCATAGAATTCCACTATAATTTATCAAGCTTATTAACTAAGCTGTGTTTGGGTCTAAAAAAATATGAAATTTCAAGCAGACTACCTCCTTGAAATCTTGTTTTGAAAGAACGAGATGGCGTCCTAATACTTGAAAATGGCTGAGAAAGCCACTAAGAGAATAGTCTGAGCTTTCGATTGGTTATTTACATATATGAATATATGTGACTGTTTCCAAAAATGGAAAGAGGTGAGCGGGGCCACTGTGTGTGTTTCAGTACATGAGTGATATCTCAACAAATAGAAAAGATAGGAGGTTCTTATTTTATATTCTAGCTTGTCAATATCGATAATTTGATTTTCTAATTCGTATGAAACTATATGACCGGTGGCCACGATACAATGGCTCATACAATACACATCTCCACATGAATATAATTAATCATTAATTCGATATATAATTAAATCAAGTCCTGAAAAAGGACTCTTAACAGTAAATTAAGTCCTAAAAAGGATGTTACATTTCCTTATCATTTAACCCTATTGCTACATGTCATCGTGTTTGTTGAACTACTATTTTATGAATTTATGGCAATAAGTTTGTTATGAAACTGTAGATTATAATTCAAATTTTAGTATTATACATTATTCAATTTCTTAATTTAAAAGTAAATATTAAAAAAAAAACTTAAACGTCGATTTTTGTGTGGTATAGTGAATGCAGCACTGGTTCAAATGAGATGTTTGCGATGTCAAAATACAAAGTTTGGCTGCCTAGAAACAGGTTCCCTATTTTGTGGTGCTATTACATAATCATCCAACTGCAACTTAGCAATGCGCCCCTGGCGGTAAATCTTTGAACTGTGACTTACCCCCCCCCCCCCGCTAAGGCAGCATCCGTTCGTTTATATTTACAATCTTGAATACTATATAAACACATATCTAATGTTGATTCATATCATAAATAGACTGAAAAGGTTGGATATAAAACCTTTGATAGTTAACCTCTGACTAGCATTTTAATGATTTCTCCAGTGTTATTAATTGCATAATAACCATAAAAAATAACTTGTAAAAACTCTTAAGGCTGTAAAGAAATGTTCTGGTGATATAGATTGATCTCTTTTAAGAAGTACCCTAAATTCTAAAACCATTTATTTACTACATCAATACATTTGAAGAATAACTTGTAGTACTAACATAACAATTCTGAAGCCGGAAGTAAATACAGACTGCATGCAGAATATCATTAAAAGCAGTAAACTTGAATAGTGTTCAACGAAAGCCATAGCTGACAGCGAGATAGATAACTTGATAAATGCACACAATAATTTCAACAGAAGAGCTTTTAGCATTAAAAGAAATCTTAAATAAATAGTGAAATTCAATGAAATAGTTTTGTGCATTTCTTGATTTTCTTAGAAAATGTTTTGTAAAGAAATCTTAAAATATTTACTCGAGTGGTTCCTTTAAAGATTGAAAGTATCAGAATAATAATAACAACTTAAAAGGAGTAAGGGCTAAGCCCTGGGTACCATCTAGGACAACCAGGATTTGTCTGCTGTTATATGCAAAATACACAACGGACTATTTATGCTCTGCCTAGCGTGGATTTCAAGACACAGCTATTAGCGTCATAGGTCCTCAGACTTAAAGCTAACCCACCAGGGGGCAACTATTCATTATGCATGTTATCAACATGACTCTTGTTTTTGTTTGTTTTTGAATTTTGTGCAAAACTACACGAGGGCTATCTGCGCTAGCCATCCGTAATTTAGCAGTGTAAAACTAGAGGGAAGGCAGCTAGTCATCACCACCCACCGCCAACTCTCGGACTACTCTTATACCAACAAATAGTAGGATTGACTATCAAATTATAACGCCCCCACGGCTGAAAGGCCGAGCATGTTTTGTGGGATGGGGATTCGAACACGCGACTCTCAAATTGTGAGTTGAGCGCCCTAACCACTAGGCCTTGCCAGGCCAACATGCCTCTAAAGGATCCGAATCATGGATACTCTTCACAATTCGCAGATGATGTGGCAGCCTAGAAAAGTGCTCAAACTCCACCACATATCTACAACCTTAATTAAACAGATTAGTTGAATACAATCAAAAATATCCCATTAAAATATGTCCCAAAAATCAATTAGTAGTTTTTACAAAACTAACAAAGCATAGAAATATACCCACTCGAACTATATATGTACAGAGCATTTCTCCAGACTACATCATCATCAGCAAAATTCTTAGGCTTAACATACGATTCAAAATTTACATGGATCAAACACATAAGTAATATTAAAACCAAAGTTTGGCAATGCACGAACTATTTCTAGAAGTCTAACGGCAGGAATAGTGGAGCAACAGTTGATAATATAATCAGATTATACAAAACATACACACCTCCAGTAATCGAATATGCATGTCCCTCATGGTTAAATGTGACACCTAAACGTATCAAAAGTAAATTACAAACAGTATATAATTACATACTTACAACAAAGTACCAAGATTAACCTCCTCAAAATTAATGCACAATTATGCAAACATTGAAACAATAACCGACAGATTCCTACATAGCTCGCTAAATTATTTCGCGAAAAATTGGGGCAAAAATGAATTACTATGTGAAGTAGATTTTTGCTGTATACATGATAAAGATAACCCTAAGAAACTCTCGCTAGTTTATATATACATTAGAAATAAACATAAATTAAGACCACCTAATGATAGACTTCTAACTCTTTTTTAGTTTTAAGTTACTGGGGAAATTTAAAATTAACGAAAAAATTTTAACAATACATATTGAACTGTTCGCGATATGTAGAAATTTGCACTAACTAATGAAAAGATGATGTATTCAACACATGAATATTACAATAATTATGGACATGGCCTTGAAAGGGGTCAGATTGACAGCGCAGACTAGCAACACTCCGATTCCCTTGTAGTGATTAAATTAATATTATTCTGAGATCACCTACCATGCATCAAGAGGTCAAATGTACCTGACCCTCACAGGTCTACAAAAACCTATAGCCCTATACAGACAAGAGACCTAGCCATTCAGCCAGATGTTCAAAGATGCTGCAAACACATTTAACTGTCTAACGCGCACCTCTCTGAAAGCTTTATAACTATCCAATAAACCTAAGCTTTTTCTTCGATGGTACTTTTAAACATTCCAACTCATACTAAGCCTAAATTAACACAATATTATAATGGTCTGTTTGCGAAAAGTAACACTAAAACTAGTAATGTGTATATTCTGACTGCACTCAAGTTTTTTTATTTACTTTTTGCTGGACAAAATTAGTCTGACTATATTTTACTGCTGGTAACAAAAATTTAATTCTAAGATCAATATGTTAATACTACAAAATATAACATGGTAAGTTTTGCATTATTTATAATATTGTATTAAAGTGAATAAAAAAACGATCCAATCTTGAAGATTAACATATATAGCATAGAACAGAGTGGACTGTCTACCACTATCAGCTGTTGCTTCTATCTGCATATGACACATGTAACACTATAAATCAGTTATGCCAAAAACCACGGGCACTGTTTTGTAGCTGTCGCAGTTTCCGTTGGAGTTTCAGTTCTTTCTTTGCTTCAGCTTTCAATGTTTGATCTAATAACTGGCTTGTTTTAGTTAGCTGATAAATATATGCAGCCGACTTTTTTAAGATCATCACTTTTGGGGCCTTAGGATTGTCTTTTAAATCAGGAACATTTTCTTTGAGGATCTGAAAGGCGAAACGTAAGTCGTTTCGTCTTTTCCTTTCCATGCTGTTGTGCTCTTTTCTTACTCTTAAAGGATCTTCAGAGTCAGGGCTAGATGGGCTACTGCAACTCCCTCTAGTCCGTGATTTATTTATTTCAAACTTACTGTGCTTCAATCTTTGTGTTCTTGATGGTTGATTACGTCCGATGGCAACACAGAGAGCACTGTTATCGCACGGTAATACAACTAGTGTAACCGCTTTCCGAACAACCAGTTTTTCATCCTCGATAGAATACGGTGACGCGCGTGGATTGCTATGTTCACTGCGTTTCAACAATCCTTTCTTTTTAGGCTTAGCTGGTGATTCTTCGATGGTCACGACATCTACTTCCTTATCTGCAACATAATAAAAAGATAAGTTAAGGTTTGAAGATACTTACGTTTCTGTTTTAAATCCCATTATACATTTTAATTACAACAAAGATACAAATATAAAACTAGGCCTAAAGTTTGTGATAAACATCACGTTAACTACGTTGTTTTTTTCAATATTTCTCTGCAGTTAGTGATTTTTACCGAACTTTAGGCCTATTAATTTCTATTGATTTGAAGCGTAAACACTAAACTAGATAATACATTATTCATGAATAATAATAATGTAGTCCAAAATAATCGTATTTCACTAATCATTATGTTAACGAAAGAAAAATGCATTAATGTTTCATAGCAATAAAATTACTATACACTGGAAACAATGAAATGTTGATCTTATTATAAAAAACTCCATCTTTGATGCTTAACAAAGAATACAAAAATTCTAGTGCTAGCAAGGGATATGAAAAAGCAACCTTCAATACCCATTAATGGTTCAAAACCCTTTCCAGTAGAATTGAAGGAAGTCAGAAATTTCGAGTAAGAAATCGAATATTTTTAGCATTATTGTTGCGTTGTTTTTAGGAATCTGAACAAAACTAAGGGCATGGTTGTTTCGCTTGTCCATAACATTCCCAGATTTTCTTTTCCAGTAGATGAATCAAGTGAACCAGAACAGCAAGGAAGCATTTTCAATATGGCAGAGAATCTATTAGCCGTCTGAAGATGAAATTATTGACGATTCTGAGCAAAGTGATGATCAAACAGATGAATTGATGTTATTTCTTTCTTTCTTCTTCTCTCCAAGTTCTATGAAAAATGTAATTAAGGTCAAATAAAATAAAATGTTTAGCGTCAGGAGTTTTGGAAAGAAGGAAGGAGGAGGTCTATTTTTTAATGACCTTTTTCAAAGAAAGTTTGCACCTTTTTTTCATGAGTATTGCTTGTTTTCAAAGGGTCCATGTCAAACAGAAGTCTTTTTTTGCATAAAAACGATACATAATTTATGACACGTAAAGAAAAGGGGCAAAATGGATCAACTGTGTTCATATCATTCTTTATTCAACAACGCTTATATCTTCGATATACAGTGCCGAGGTGGCCTTTCGATCAATACCATTGCTCATCAGGTCAGCTGAGATATGACAGACATGGTAGTGGCCTAGGCGCTATTTATATTATTAATTTCATGAACAATAACTGTTAAAAAATAACAAAAGATGTAAAAAATCGATATTTCAAATTATGGTCTACACTGTGATAATTTTAAAAATATATCATCACAGGACCTTGAAAAGTTAAACTCTTATAGATTTCTGAAAATTATTTAATATTAATATTATAATTTGTAGTAATTTGGGTTAAATAACACAAGAATAACTAGATATAATAAGATTGGTAAATAACAGTAATACGGTCAACGTTTCAACTTAAGAGTTTAGTAGTGTAAACTTTACTACAATGACAAAATAGGCTTAGTACGTGTAACGATACTTTAGGCTTAGTTAAATTTCAATTTACTGGTAAATCATAAAACAGGTTAAATACATTGTTTTTATTATATAAATACAATCTAAAACTAGTTTATTGTCTCGTCGTGTTTTAAGGATTAACCTGTTTACTTGAACTTAGCTCCATTAGTTTAAATTCAGCCTATAGTTATAGGTAGGTTATAATATTGTTACGTCTCCGACGAAACTTTAGCGACACAAGTCCTTACTTAATAAAACTGGTTTATTCTTTCCGAATACAACTTTACGATACACTCAACTTCAACAATCGCGCTAAACAAACGCTATAACAACGAACGTGCTCAATAATACTTCTGACTGCAGATCAATTACTCACTGTCTATACACACACATTACATTACCTTACCGCGTCACGTTGTCACCCTCTTATATATACCAGACTAACCTATCTAGTAAATACCAGAGCATTCATGAAGCAACAAGATAGTTCTAGAAACTAGAGGGCGCCACACCAGTCACGTGACCTCGATGACGCAACAATATAAATCAGGCTAAATACATTGTATTATTAACATTACGTATATATCAAAGACCAGTTATTGTCACTTTTAATAAAGTTATATTTCCAAGTTCTATATAATTAAAGATAAACTTTATTACTTTAGTGTGAATACAAACTAGTGATAAAAAAAATAATTATTTCTTAAACCTTAGGCTTAACAGTAACAGGGTTAACAATAGGCTACTGGCATTGAGTATTTATTTCAGGCTACAATGGTTAAGACTTGTGTACAAATTAAGCGTTCAAAGTTTGTTAGGTGTAATGGGTGCAATGAGTGGGTTTTATTTGGGAACTCGGGACTGACATGTACTTTTAAGGAAGCTAGTAATGATGATGTACAATTTTCATGTAGGGTTTGTAGGTTGGAGGAGAAGTTGGAAGCTATCATAATTAAAGTAGAGGCGATAGATAAAGAGAAGTGTAGACTGTGGGAATGGCAGCAGGATTTCAAGAGGATTTTAAGCATTTACATGCAAGGAATACAACAGCTAACAATGACTTTCAGGAAATTAGAAAAAATACTAATAGGGCTAAAACTAAAAATATTGGATTTAATTGTAAGGAGCCTATTCTATTGAC